ACAAATCCTTATATTTTGAATGTTACGCAACAATGCCGATGCTCGCCGATGCTCATATTTCGAGCTTGGGGTACCTGTGGTGTAACGTAATATACTCACCAGTTGTTTCGGTTGTCTCGTCGAAATGTGCCATCAGTTCAGGGAATAGTAAGCCGAAACTAAGAACAAAGCCGGTGTTAATAGCACCGCAAACCGCTGAGGAGATACACACAACCCACGACCAACGACTATCTGGGTGATGTTTGCCTCGGAAAAACCAGCATAGTTTTCCAAGCATCTCGCTAACGTGTTTTTGAACATACATTCATGTGTGTGGCTTGCTATTTTTGGCGTCGATAAAACCCGGAACATGGAACATTCCGGAACATGCCGGAACATTCCGGAACATGAAAAAATAGAAATTATTTTCATGAAAAAAAAAAATATATATATATATATATATATATTAATAATAATAATAATAATAATAATAATAATAATATAATAATAATAATAATAATAATAATAATAATAATAAAATAATTTTTATAAAAATTAATAATAACGTAAAATAACAAAAAACCGAAAGAGAAAGAAATAAAGAAAAAGAAACTCGTATCATCTCCAGGTATGAGAAAACAATATTTTGTCGCAAATAATTTGTGGGGCGAGGGTCCATGGAAATGACAGTAATTAGTGAAGGTTTGCTTCTAAATTCAAACTATATTAAAATGGGTCGCGAGGAGGGGGGTTTTCAAGCTTTTCTCACACAGCCACCCCTGGTAAATGTTTGCCATGCGGTTTAACGGTTATTCATTTACGGCTTTGCGACCGTGAGAAGAGCTTAGGGGCTCGTCGCTTTGGACTTTAGTAGATAAAATTCACATTCGCCGTAAATCAGTTGCAGTGGTAGTGGTAGCGCAGTGGCAGTTTCTGACTGTTATCAGTTAGCCTTAATTGTATCCGTCTCCCGAGTCGCAAGTGAAGTTTGCGACTTGAGGAGATAGCCGAAATTCAAGCTAGATCACAGCCCCCTATTTTCCTCCTCCAAGTTGAAGATTGCGATCGCCGCTGTCAAAGTGATTTAGGTATCCTCTGATAACTAAACTGGCGACAGTGAAGTAGGTGCTAATTCGAATGGTTTGCTAACGCGTGTGTGTGGAACTACACCTTTTACGGGAGGGGCTGTTGTGATTCCCGTGATCATGCAGATCCACACAGACTTCCTATGCCCGTTTCGGACCCCAGATAGCAGGACACTGACACGACGGAACAAAGTGCTCCGAGATGATGATATATTTAGTAAGGTGGGACAAAAAAACAAACAAACAAAGACGGACGGTTCCTTTCCTTTCTATTCGCCTTTGACCCGGACACGTGACAAACGGATACTGTAATATTCAGTGAATTTAACTGAAAAATAGTGTTTTCAAAAATAACAAGTCGCATAAGCAGACCTTTAAGTGTCTTCGAAAACTTAGGCTTGGGCTCGAAATATAGGGGGGAGGAACAGCGTTTCAGCACACAGAGTGGAAAAAAAAAATGCAACGTCACAGGGGATGCCCAAATTAAATCACAGCGGCGATCGCCATCCTCGACCAGGCGGGAAAAAAGAGGGGACTGTAAACTACTGTAGCTTGAATTTCAGCCGTCTCCACGAGTCGCAAACTCCTCTTTCGACTCGAGGAGACGTCTGAAATATCAGGCGGACTGTAAACAGTATAGAAACTACTACGAATGAGAGTATTGTCAACTAAAATCGAAAGACAGGAGCCCCTTAGCTATTCTTAAGTTCACAGAGCCTAGTCTGTAAGTAATTCATGTCAACCTCAAGAAAGCAAAGCACCACGTAAGCACATGTCGGTTATATATAACTATTTGTTGGCTTTACACGAGTTACTTAATAACCGACTTGGCTTGACATGACATACTGCACCGACATTTCAGTCCATCGCAGGACCGTAAATGGTTAACCGCCAAATGATGAACTCATGGCAAACAATTACAAGAGGTAGCTGTGTGAGTACAGCTTGAAAACCCCCTCCTCCAAATTTCGCATGAACACAATTTTCAACGTGAAATGTGACTTCAGAAAGTTCCAGAAAGCGTGGATTCTTTATCGCTGCAAAAATGTGTTAATGAGTATTTCGCGGAATAGAGACAATCCTGTTTAAGTAAGCCTTATTTTAGTGTTTATTAGAAAGTCTACCCCCTTTTGGGGAGTATATTAACTAACACCAGGCAAAACTTCTACGCTTGCGGCGGGTTGAGTATTTCCGGTCACTTTTTCAGTCACACTCCAGTCAAAGTCCCGCCTGAGACACAGCCGAGCCGCGCAGTCTGGTATTATCGAAGTTTTCAACCAAAGAAAAACCTTGTACACGAATTAATAAGAAATAAAATATGCATTTTCTTGAATAAAAGTACGCTTTAGGCTTGTTTAGTTTCCCGGCCAAGATCTTTCCGTACCGAAAGATACGGTAAGTCGTGGTCGCAGTCATCCCTGAAGAGTTTGCCAATCCCGCCCATCTTTTGCAAATTTTTGTTTCTCCCCGTTTGAAAAAAAATATGGAACGGACCAAGGTCCTGCAGCTCCTGGCTAGTTCTAGCCTGCAGTGCAGGCATTCTCTTCGACCACGGGAATTTTATTTGCTCGCGAAAATGCCATGTTGAAACTCCAAAAGAGAGGAAGAAATGGGTCGAGTCAAAGAGCGGGGGAGGGGAGGGGAGAGAGAAGAGAAAACGGCATAAAAATTTTTTGGGGGGTCGACCCAAAAACAAATTAGAAGGGTTTGTATGGAGTTTTCTGATTATAACTGGGCTACGATCTCAGAGAAATGCTCATTTTTGGCAAGTAGGCCTCCTTGGACATTGTTCTTTCAGAATATGCTGACAAATCCCATAATTTCAGAAATTTTATTTTTATGAAAGTGACCGGATATTAAATTTTTCGCTCATGCGCAGTACCTTTTACCGTGGTGTTATATTAACTAGATATTAATGAGTAACGAGGACTTCCTGCATACTAATTTTAATTGGGCCGAGTTGTTCAAAGCTGGGTTAAGATAACCCAGGGTTAGTGCGAGATTTGAATTAAAATTTGATTTCAGTTTTATTTCTTTTACTGCTACAAGATGACGATTGGAAGCTCTAAAAATAGCAGAAAAAATTATATTAGGGTTACTTTGAAGACCGAAGATTTTTCATCCTTACTAGTTTTAAAGATTTATCTAGAATTCTTTGACGATACGTATCTTTTGACTTGGTTTCAGATTCCCAACGCTAATCGCTTGCTGAGGAGCTTACCCGAACCCTAACCGTAGCAGTTGGGTTAGGGTTCGAGTTACTTCGAGTCTCGAATATTTCTTATTTTAACCAGCTTTAAATATTTTTCCCTAGAAGTGGTCGATGATACGCGGCTTTTGCACTTGTTTTCAGATTCTTTACGTTAGTAGTTTTCTGAGGAGCTAGCCCTAACCCTAACCTTAGGGCTAGGGCTAGTAGTGTTACTTCGAAGATGGACGATTTTTTATCCTAACTGGTTTTAAAGTGTTTCATTTTTTTTTTCTTTTTATTGGGTTCAGTTTTCTGGGATTCTTACGGGAAAGATACTTTGTAATGCCGTACATAACCGGACGGACTCGGATGGTCACTGATCTACAACTTTTGGGCTGTGTTCACACTATACCCAATAGCTTTAGGCTGGCCTCCCACGCAGGCGTTTTTAAGGGAAGCTCGTATTTCGTCCCCCATCCCCACAAACGCCTGCTCAACCGAGAACAACACTCCTTTTCCAAGCTTAGCCAATCACATTGGACTTTCCAAATTCTGGAAAGTTGACCTTGATCTCAGGGTAACTCGATAATTACTCGATCTGCATGAAACACTGGGAAAGCTTTATGACCTCTAATAAATGTTTGACTAAGAGCTTCAAAAGTAAGATTAATTTAGTCAGATTTTAGAATTCTCCGTGCATTGCATAGCCTTAACGAAGGGAAAGAAAGAAGGAAAACGGTAACTATAGGGTCACATTTTACGAGTCGTGTTTAGCCTGTCAACACTTTATTTCAAAACTGTTGATTGGTCACTTACCACAAAAATAAAACAATGGGAATGGAATATTGTTCTCCATTGAACTCGTAACGCAAAAAACCCTCCGTTAAATCACCCCTCCAAATATAAACCCCCTGGGGGGGCTTGTACTTCGAANCCTGTCAACACTTTATTTCAAAACTGTTGATTGGTCACTTACCACAAAAATAAAACAATGGGAATGGAATATTGTTCTCCATTGAACTCGTAACGCAAAAAACCCTCCGTTAAATCACCCCTCCAAATATAAACCCCCTGGGGGGGCTTGTACTTCGAAATTGCCCTCAAGTACAAAGTAAAACAAAGAAAAACGGTAAATTTCCTACCAATAATAATGCTATCCTAATCGATTTTTAAACAGAAATTTCCCTCCGTACATAAGCCCCTCCGAATATAAGCCCCTCCAAAAATAAGCTCCTCAAAAAGGGCCTTCGAAAATTATAAGCCTCGGGGCTTATTTTCGGAATTTTACGCTGTTAGGTCCAGATACGTTAACCGCACCCAGAATAAAGCATAAATATTAACAGTATTTTATGCAACAAAGAAATCATAAAAATAAAAAGTCATCAAGAAAAAAGAAATAATGACAATAAAAAACAAACAAACAGAACGCAGACAGTAGAACCATTTAGACCTTACTTGAAAAAAAAAAACGTTTTCAGTATGCAAATAGAGTTCTTTCTGAGGTTGGAAGGATTATCGGTTGGGACTGAGGTACAGACAAACCAAAAAAAGCTTTGGTACAATATTTCGTGATAGGAAAACACAAATTTATTTGAGGATCACACAATCGTGAGGATTTTAAAAAGTAATGTAGAAAATATCAATGTGATGCATGAGAACCCCATCTTCCTTCTTGACTCTTCAGCTCATAACTAAATTTCGCTTGGTGCTTTTTAGGCACACATAAGAGCGATCCAAAAGAACTTCTAGATAGGGATTTCTTCTTGATGGGTTTGACCCTGAGTCTTAATCCCTTCCGTTCCTTCTGTAACCATTTGTTTATCGTTATTGACGTGGCCCTGAGGAAGAACTCTGATACTTCTATGATTGATAGGAATCAAAACCATTGGAACAAGAAATGCGACGAGAAGAACACCACCAGTCATGTAGAATGAGTAAACATAACTTCCTGTGTTGTCCACTATTAAACCTGTTCAAAAGAAATGGCAATCAGAGTTGCTTTTGCCACAAATTAGGTAAATTAATCTAAGGGCGTATTATATTGGGAACCTTATTTTGCATTTGGCTGTAAATGGAAGCGCCTATTTTTGGGATTTTGTGATATATGTTTTAATTACGCCAATATCTCGGGAAGAGTATGTAAGCGAGCAAAACAAATGTCATTAGCTTTCCGGGGTACACCCTTATAAAAGAGACGAAGAGGCTCCTCTTCTCGCCAGCTAGAAGGGTGTAAATTGCTAGAACGGAAAGGTATTACTCAGGAGAATGTGGAGGGAAATATATACAAACGCCGTGTACTGTCTTTCGCGCAATAATTAAATCACTACAGCTCGTAGCTGGTTGCACGAATTGGTTGCCAGTTTTTAATACTTTTGCCTTTTTTAGGGGTCAAAAAGTCTCGTTTAGGGTTTTTGTTTGTAGGGTTTTCTGACGAGCATCCCGTACCCCGCACCTGTTACTAAGGGATCACCCTGGGACCTCGTGAGGCTCATAGTCGCCTATTGAATAGGGTCCGTTGAACAACAGTCTGACAAGACATTAATCGTAGCAGGCAACTATTTAGATCATTACATTAGACTGTTTCGAATGCTTTGTTTTCCTTTTTCAGACCATGTGATGTTACCCCACATTCCCGTTTATTTCAAATTTCGTCCTGTCAACGAGCATAATTATGATCATGAACAGAGAACTAAAGCCCTGTACAAAAGGACGAAATATTGTTGGTAGTTATTGTTGGGAGTTGTTGGCCAACAATGTTGCGTCGTCCATTTGCTCGAGGCTTAAAAAGACATAAGTTCAGATTCCCTTGAGAACATCAGGTCACCTGAATTGGGGGAAAGAGAACATACAAGCCAAAAAGACTCATTACAGATATTTACTCACCAGCAATGGGGCTACCAGCAGCTGCAGCTATTGAATAAAGTACGTTGCTAGTACAGAAGGACGCTGTTACCCTTTTAGCGTCCACGCATGTTAGCTGAGTATACACAGCTGATGTCATGAAAATTCCATCACTGAAGCCATAGATAAAGCTGAAGACTATTAACAACCAGTATTTTGTGGCAGCAAGCTGAAGCAAAAATACGGAAAGAGCAGCCAATAGCATGGATGCCTGATAAGTAAAGATGGAATTTACTTTCTTGTTGTTGCACAACTTTCCTGTTATGATCCTTGCAAGAGATGAAGCAAGTCCAATAAAAATAAATAAGCGAGAAGCAGCCTGGGCACTTATTCCATTATCCTCTGAATACTTCACCTATAAAAAGAATCAAACCAATTAAGTATATTCAGTATTATAAACTACTTCATGGAAGGTGCACGTTTACGGTATGGTATTTACCCACGATCGCGAGTTGTTGACGTATCAGAAATCGAACAAGGGAGCAAAGTTACGAATACGGCTTGTTACACAGTAATTTTCAAGTGTGGCTAGTGGGGCTAAATTAACTCCTTACAGTGGAGTTATTCTTTGGGGAGTTATTCCAAAAAATTCTCCAAAAAGGAGTTTAAAGAACTCTTTTTTAGGAGTAAAAGTGACCCCTGAGGAGTTAAAATACCCTCAAAAAAGGAGTTATCCTGTACCTAAACTTTAGAAACACCCCATGTAAGGAGTAAAAGTAACCCCATTTCGGAGTTATTTTAACTCCAGACTGGGAGTAAAAAGAACTTTTTTTTCAGGAGTGAAAATGACGCCAAATTCGGAGTTAAATTAAGAGTTAAAGTAACCCCCCAAAAGGGATTGTCCTGTATCTAAAATCTTTACTCCATTTTTGGAGTTATAATAACTCCCTAAAAATTACGGTGTACACGGTAAGGAGGAGCAGTGACTAGTAGTAGCAAGCTTTGAGCAGCAGAATGCTGTAAGGAAAATTTAAGAAGTGAAGACGAAAAAGTAAAAGAAGACTCTTTTTACATTCTCTACTTCGTGTGATTTGCTCGAACAGCGTCCAACGCGTCAGTTGGCAGTTTGCAGTAAATGTGATTCTAAACTGATCCTACTAATCATCTGATAGAGCTCGTCGCAGAAAAAATCAGTGAGGCTTTGGGCGACAATTACCCCATTGTACCACCCTATGAATGTTTTTTAACTCCAATTATTATGTAAAAAAGACTTACCAGATATATTAATGGAATGTATATCGCAAATGCTGTAACCATAAAAGAAATGGTAACCACAACGAAAGTAGGAATTTTCCACACGCTGCAGTAAAGAGAAATGCTGTTTCTCTCATTGTCTTGGTTCTCATTTTTGTTTTCTATATTGTGACCCGTTGTTTCTTGAAACTGTATGTTTGGGTTGTAAGTCAAGCCCAGGAGGCAGACAAGGGCGAAAGCCACGACCATGATCCTGTAAGTGCCTCTCCATCCAAATGAATCCAAAAGAAATTGAAGCAATGGACCTGTGAAAAAGACGCCAGTGCTTTCCCCTAAAGCTACAATACCAGTTGCCATGGACAACCTCTTTTTAAAGTACTGTGCGATTACAAGATAGCAGGAGTTGTAGATAAAACATATTCCTAAGCCAATTATCAGGCCTTGGGTGAAGTACATGTGAGTGAGGCTCTTAGCAAATGACGATACCACCAAACCGGTCATGCACAACGTTGCTCCCAGAAAGTTTGTGATACGACAGCCAAAACGATCGCAGAGATAGCCAGGCAGCGGACTGGCCAACCATGCCATGCCCAAGGTTAGCGAACCGAGGCCAGCTGAAAAGAAAGTTGACGTTATTTTAAGGATGATTGAAAATCTTGTTTACGGATGACGTTATATCGGCACAGCTTAGAAGACCTTCAACAATTTCCTCATGTTTGATGATAAAACCATAAATCCGTGACTGCAAATCGCTCAGTGATTTACACGTCGGTAAAACGAAATTGACGAGGTCACCCTAACAAACACCCACGTGGTTTTAAAGGAGGACCAATATAAATTCATCTAGGGACGTTGTAAAATGAGTCTAATTATTTCTCTTGTAGTTAGAATTGTGTGTATTATTTTGTTTTTGCCGTGAGGTTTTTGGTTTTGCCGTGAGGTATTTTGTTTTTGCTGTGAGGTTTTTGGTTTTGCCGTGACAGTTGTGGGCCACCATACCAAACGCGAATGATGTAGCAATGGGAAATTAGCCTTTGGGCATGTACTGCACGTGTCTGATCATCTCATTTTGTCCGTTAACAAAGAACACAAGGAAGATGCATGACCTCGGACAAGCAGAGTCAAGTGCAAGTTAGAGACGAACGGAAACCACTTTGAATAATAGATTGGGTTAGAATTAAATGAATAAATTACAAGGATGAAATTATTGTTAACTGAGAAACAGTCAATGAATAAGAAAAATATCAGATCAAGGTATTCCACTAATACTAATAGTATTACTGTTCGGTTAAAGTACCCTCGATCCTTTCGGTCGATCACTGTTTTCGTGTATCGTTTTCATCTCTTCTTTTTTTTTTTTAAATAGCTTATTTACTACCACATTAAATCAGATCGAGTGGGCTCTTTTTCCCCTTCTTCCTTGACAATGTTATTGCAACTAGTGCGTCCAAGCCGATTTCTTTTTATGTCACCGATCGCATGTCTCTCGTAACGTGTTCTCACTCTTTAAGACAGTATTCCACAAAGCACTCATCGAACTCGACGTAGAATACGGCAATTCAAAACTCACTAGTCGCAATTAAAACTCTAGCGCTGAATCGAAAGAAAAAGACTAATTTCTACCTAATTTTATATCCAGTCTCTTGGACGTCTGACTGACAACTTGTTATCTAACACACATATCACGCTCAACATACCCTTATTTATTTCACGTTTACCTTAAGACGTGTTGATGGTAAAATCGAGAAATCTGGTGGAAATTACTGATTGAAATGAATGCAGCATTGCAATGGTTCAAAAATTCATGGTCGAAGAGATTTGTCGCAAATATCTGCGGGTTCGGCAACACAATCTTATCTCTTTTTTCCGTTTCGTTTTTGTTTTGACTGTCTCGTAATTCATGTTAATGTAACGTGTTCATGAGAACTTAAGGATATTATTTTTATGTGTTCTAAAGAATAAAAACATATTACTCACCAGTTTTTTCCCTTGACTCATCAAAATGTTCCATCAATTCAGGGAATAGTACGCCGAAACTAAGAACAAATCCGGTGTTAATAGCACCGCAAATCGCTGAGGAGATACACACAACCCAAGACCAACGACAGTCTGAGTGATGTTTGCCTCGGAAAAACCAGCATAGTTTTCCAAGTATCTCGCTGGCGTTTTTTTGAACACACATGTGTGTGGCGTGCGATTTTTACTCTCGACAAAAGAACGTGATTATGGCAACACAGTCACCGTTAGCAAATTCAAATTTCATTTTGGCTGATCACATATGATTGATGATGATTAACTGACCATCCTGTTTTCCGCCACATTTTTGACCTTTCGTTCCAATAAGTATTGTACGGGCAAAGATAATTACTTACTAACAATTTATCGGCTATCGCAACACTTGATTACGGGCACAGTCTGAGCGGAATGGGTACGTGCAAAAGAAGATCAGTGTCCAAAACACAAGTGGCTTTCAAAGCTTATCGCCAACCTCGTTCCCAGGTTCTCTCTCCCACCCGTCTCTCGCTCCGTAGGGACGGGTAGGAGAAAACCTTGAGAACGAGGTTGGCTCTTCGCCTACTTTTCACTACCCTACGTGCAGAACCAACTTTTCCTGTTGATTTTCGCATGAACACAATTTTCAACGTGAAATGTGACTTCAGAAAACTCTAGATAAAGTGTATTCTTTATCGCTGCAAAAATGTCTTAATGAGTATTTCGAACTGAGAGACAATCCTGTTTAAATAAGCCAAATTTTAATGTTTATTAGAAAGTCTACCCTTTTTGGGAGTATAACATATATATATACAAGTATAACATATATATATATATATATTTAGTATATACACACTCAGTGATCTTGGTAATTCAAGCAATCTGATTGGTTCGCTATCTCGGACTATGACGTTATATTCACCGCGCTAGGCGGTGAATATCAAGCAGAACAAAATCGCTGTCGTGAACTGGATGTTTTGCCAAAGTTTCATAGTGAAGCCTTGTTGAAAATACACGAATATCCAAGTGCTGATGACTTTGAAGGCAAGAAAAGACTTCATGGTGTTTAAACAGCGTGATCTATTGTGAAGTGGTTAACTGTAGCTGACTTTTTTGTACGCTCGAAGCTATGTTTACCACGACAGAGGAAAACGAGGCCGCTTTGTCACTTTTGTGATTTCGGGATTTTCTCGCAAGACCAGTTTTGCCTATAAATAGAAGTTAATTCATGGAGAAAAGAGGAAGGCAAATATTTTCGAAAATTGTACGTGCCA